GAAACTTATAAAATACAGAAGAAGGTACATGCAGTGATAACTAACAACGGCGATTACCCAATTACTTCCTAAATTCGCAATATTGTTGCATATTTTGCATATTAGCTGCAGCATTTTGCCTTGGCATGTCTTCACTTGTGCCCATTTCTGAGTGGCTATACTTATTCTTTTAAATTTGTTGATTTTGCATTGCTGAAAAAATGAGTTTATTCCTGTTTATATCTAAGCCTAACAAATGTTTTTTTAAATACATTTATATTTGCCTCCATATGAAATAGGGTATAAATGTTGTTTCGTTATATTCTCATTATGGGTATACTGTACTATTAGGACCTACAGCTCGCTTTAGCAGTTATACAGTAACATGTTTTAATTTGGTGCGAAATGGCTTCCAGCAGCCACGGTTCAAATGTCCAGAGTTCTTCCAAGGAGCATAAGAGCGATAGCAAACAGTAAGAAATATAATTTATTTCAAAAATATTATTGACATTTAGTTCCGGGCTACTTTGCCACATTAAATACAACAACACACTTCCGGACATTCCGTTTGACGCGAAGTTCCTCTCGTATCCGTTTGACCCAAACCGATTTGTCAAATACAAGCCAACGACTTTGGAGAAAAATTTCAAGTACGAACTGCTCACCGAAAATGATGTTGGTGTGAATATCGACCTCATTAACCCTGATACCTATGCGATTGACTATTCCAGTGAGTTGCTTTTGATTTCGATCAAAAGTACGTCGAATTTGCGGTTGCATTTCAGCTCCAACGATGATGGATCCTCTCGATGAGAAGTTGCTCGAAGAGGAAGTGACTAATCCCCATGATTCAAAGAGGTATTTCTTTGTGCATTCTATTGCATTGAAAAATACTATAATGATGTAGATTTTGACGAATAATATACATAAAGATTAAATATGACATATTTGGTTAGAATTGGACAAGTATTTTGATTTTTCTCGAAACTTGTACAGTTTTTTGTTTTTTTATCCAACAGCTTGCTAGAGTGCTTATTGATTAAGTCAGTCTCGCGTTCAGAACTGCAGGACTGTACTCTATAATGTACAAGGTTCTTGACGAACGTGAATTTTGCTAATAATCCCCTGATATAATGTTATCAATGTTTTTATAGAGTGAACTCTTAATATAGCATGTGTTCGAGTATCTTAAATTCAACAAGGTTCGTATTTGATGCTTATTCTTTGGCGTTTTGTTTAGTTTAGATTATTGTAGGTATTTTCCTTATTATCCCGCCCTGAACCATTTCTAGTCCGAACTTCTTTCGTGACACAACCATGTTTCTGAATAGTAAAATTCTAAAACTCCAAAAAACTCTACTCCTCGAAAATGTTTTTCCCTCCTTTTTACGCAAGTCGCAATTGACGCGCAGTGTCTTCATGGTTTTGTTTCTGCAGTGCTGACTGTAGTGTTTTCTTCTCTACCTGTATTCTGTTGATGATTTTATACTTTTGTTATTTTTTCGCTTATGCCTTGTATTGACCCGCTCATCAGTCAGGTCAGGCAAGTAGTACAACCGCGATATATGTGCATCGATTTACATGATGATTTAGTTGCCAAGTTTTAGCAGAGTTTTACAAAAGGCTATGAAACTGTTCCCGTTTCTCAGCCGATGTGCATGAGTATATAGTGTGATGAGTTATGGTTCAGGGAAATTGATAGTTGGTAATTAACTAAGAACATGCCACCTCCCTTGAAGGGGGAACGTGACATTTCTGGCATGTATGGCTAACACTGATCTTCGTCTTCCCGCTTTTAAAATTTCTTGTCATCTGTAAAATTCTATTTGTAGCTCAGAAAGTATTAACTGTCAAAAATTTGCTAATTATCAATTTTTTTGTCACAGCGTCAGGTAATGCGAATATTTAGGTCCAAGCAGCACAGCAAAGTAGTGCCATGGATGAGGAAAACAGAATACATATCATCGGAGTTCAATCGTTACGGTACGCAGGTGGAACGGCAAGAAACTAAGTAAGAATTCTTCGGTAATTCGTTGTAATTATGCTTAGCCTGTCGATCATTCTATATTTAAAGTCATATTATGTGATTAATGGTTTTCTTTTTTCGATCATTCTGACTAGCAAGGAGGTGCAGAAAGAGTATGGTTGCGATGCAGCAATCTGAGATCAAAACCTGATGCTACACCCATCAGATGTACTGGGAATACTTGCAGTTCAGCTATCGAAATTTCATCCGGGTGACTAAAACACTTCGATTTAGCTACGTGCTTTGTTGCCGCAGCGTCGAGCAAAGAAATAAAGGAGGCCGCCGCTACCTCTACACCTATCGGAAATTGATACATCCCTTCCTATGCTGACTAAAGTCTATGCGGCTATTCCCAAACTGATGAATAACTGAGTCCTGTGAAAGTTCATGAAATGTGCCATTGTCCTCGTGCCAGTGTAGTACCCGACCATTTGTTCGTGAACGTAATTAACGTCGTCCATTTGCAACGTTAGGTATATTCGTTGCCATATGATTCGATGTCGTTGCAAGCAGTTTTCGGCAAGGTTTCTGCCCATGTCCTACTGCAGCTGTCGAACCCATTTCTCCTGGACATCCGGCTTCACTTCCAATCGCCCGAAAATGGATTGATCTTGGCATAGAGACCAGTCTCAGAGAAACACAGGAAATTTATCCATACGTTTCTGCGTTTTAGACCTTTTTGAGTCGGCATTTCACTCATTTGACCGATCGACTTTTTCTGGTTCTTCGAAGCTTCGATCTGCTGGATCGGCTACTCACTCTTCATAGGAGGTACGCCGTAATTTGAACCGTTTTCGATTCAGGTCAATCGTCCATGTCGTCGAGGGTAAGAGGAACAAATATACCTGCTCGTCCTTGCGTTTTTTAACTGATCTGTCGACCGGGTCCTTGAGAACATTCTAAATTGCAGGCCTATTGCCGCCTCTTTGTTAATGACTCTGGAGTTTGCAGACGTCATTGCGCATCTTGTCCTTTCTTGAAGCTTTTCCTGGTCATTTTCTAGGCTTTCAACGATGTTTTGAACAAATTTGTTCAGAAGATCT